GCCCCAAAGTGAGTGCCCACGTACCCCAAACAAGCTGGAGGCCTCTGGCCTGAGCTGAACACCAGTCCAAAGCAGGGCTTCTCACCTCCCCACTTGCAATGAACGTGCCTAATGCTGCATGAAAGTCTAATCTTACAAGCTCCTGACCCTCAATTCCAGCTGGACAACCAGTTCACCATCTCCCCCACCCACTCACAAGTGTGCCAGCTCCATGGTTTGGGTCTCTAAATCCAGGTATCTGATTTTTGATGGTTACTTTTTAAGCTAGACATACACAAAGTGCATCACTACGAGGGAACCACTTGGCACTGTGCAACAAAGTCAACCCGTCCCCAGTCTGTTCTCAATGTATAAAATAAAGTGGGTTGTGCTCCAGCCCTGTCAACACGCAGACTGCAGGAGGGGCACAGCGTGGGCACACAGGAACCCAACATGGTCTGTGCTCCAGGTGTGGAGGCTGCTTTGGGAAAACACATCCACTCAGAGACAGCACAAAACACTCCTGCTCCTCTGCAGCCCCAGTGTCTGCAAAGTGAGCAATTCTCCCTGCTAACAAAACCAGGGGAAAAATACCTGGCAGGGTTTTTGCACGCCCTGCCAGCACATGGTTCCAGGTGTGACACACCGTGCTGTGCCCCTCTGCTTTTCCTGCTGTGTGCCAACAGGTCTGAGCGCAGGCGGTCCATAGCACTGCAGGCAGAGCCCATCGCTCAGCACCACAGGCATCCATCACCAGGTGCAGGAGGAAGAGCTGTCCCAGGATTAATGCCTCACGCTGCAAAAACAAATGGCCCAGGCTCGCCTCGATGTTCAGTTTTGATAAATGGTTTGACTTCGCCTTGACACCTCTGTAGCAGCGGGAGACCATTATCCTGAGACAATGTTTTATTCTATTGACATTATCTCTTAATTATAACGTGAGCGATATCAAAGAGAGAGCCAGGGCCCACCGATCCCTCAGGCAGAGCCTCTGCAGCTCCTCCTGTCAGGGTATCCAGGAGAGGCTTTGCCTGAGGGCTGCAGCAGGAAGGGGTTTTGTATTAAAATTGCAGAAGCAAGGAGGACTTTGGGAAGACAGAAAGGTTTTCTGCGTATCTTTAAATGAGATTTTTGCAATGGTCAGAAGGAATTTGGCATTTGTTTTACCTTAGAATGCAATTAGCATTTGGATGAAATTTGTGAGGGATTCTAAACCTCCCACTTCAGGGATTCAGGAGAGGCCCTGAGGTGAGTTACACACATACCTTTAATTCTGGGGTCTGCACCCAGTGGAGCTCCCTGAGGAGCAGAGCCCAGCATTGCTGTCAGCAGCTCCCATTGGCACCAGCTGTTTGCAATACCATTTTGCACAGAGGGAACAACCAATTGGAAAGGGAACTACGGCACTCTCATCCTTAAATTCCGAGTCAGAGGCAGCAGCACTGCAGAGCTGCCACCCTGGAAGGGGAAAAACAACAGAGAACAGCATTTTTAAATATTTAATCTGTGCCAACTTAATTAACTCACAAGAAAAAAAATGGCACAGCACCACACACAGGGATGCAGGCTCTCCAAAGCATCATGCGAGTCCCTGGTGAGACAGAGGAGAATGCATGGGAGGCAATGGGAAAACCAATCAGTGCCACATGAAACTCGTAATGCTGAAAGCTTTCCTGGAAAGCCAACCAACAGCAGCCAGTGCCTGCTCAGAGTCTGCAATTAAAGGGGAGAAATTTTTGATTTACAGCAAAGGACAGAGCCCACAGTCTGGGTGCACACAGGTCTCACAAAGAATATTTCTGATTGCCCAGGGGTGGCTTCTTCCTGAGGCAGAGGATGGTTCGTATCAGATGAAGGAGTCAGACAGCCACCACTGTGCCTTGGTGATTTATAGGCACACAGAAGGGCTGCACCAACCAGGCTTTCAAGGATTACTTAACACAGGATGAAGTAGATCAAATGCGAATGGGTGGATGGTATGCAAACAGCACGGCTGCTAAGCCCTCTGGTTTCTTTCACAAGGCTTTGAAATGGGGAAAATGTACTTTTGGGTAAGTTGTGTGCTAGGGGCACTGGGGCGTTTAGGAGCCAAAGAAAATCCAGAAGGTAGGGCTGGGGTGGCAGGAAGCTCCCTGCACTGATCATGGCACCAAACAGCAGCTTCTGGAGGCAGAGGAGTGAGCATGGGGCTGTTTAGTGGCTCTCTGGGTAGCAATCAGGGATGCATTGAGAGATAGATCTCACCAGTGCTCCCTGTGCTGCTCCAGGGTGCATCTGGACTCAGAGCTACCCCAATTTGGAAGGATAAAAACCAGGGGACTGAGTTTGCAACAACTCTGGGAACTGCGATTTGCTGGAAAACAAGAAATCCTAATCCTTTATTTTTATTGGCACCAAAGGTCTCTTTGCTGCTCCTTGTGACATTCAGCACACTGGAAAAGCAGTGCTCACAAGGGATGCAGAACAGCTCAGTGCCTGGGCTCAGGGCACTTGGTGCAGATAGGAGCTGCGTGCTGTGAACCTGCCAGCACCAGCTCCAGCCCCTGTGTTCCCATGGATCTGCTCTGCTCCGGTTTCCACATGCGTGGCTGCAAGCCAAAGGCTTACTTGGAAAAGCAGAGGAAGTCTCCAGCAAGGCGGGGGGGAGAAAGAGGGAAATTCCTTGAAATGCTGTCTTTGGGGAAGAGATCTGCAGTTGCTGGAAATTCCTTCCCTGGAAACTCAGCTGCAAAGCTCAGCTGCCCATTGCCACCACACAATATCTCATGCTGTGAGCAGCAGGATGCTGTGACCCACAGATCCAACTGAGATTTGCGGGCACGAGGTGCAGCATCAGCTGCACCACAGCCTTTTTCCTCCATAAGAACTCATCCAGAAATTGGTCTGGATGGAAAAGGCAGAAAGCAGCAGGGTCGTGTATGTGTTCTGGCTCTTTAATAGAGCAGTGCAGACACAAGCATCGTATTCTGCTCCATACTCAGCCTGGCAGCCCAGAAACGGCACTCAGCAACAGTCACAGAGCCCCACAGTGGAGGTGAGAAGGATTGCCAGCGTGGAACCAATGCCAGCAGCTGGGGGCAGCGCCTGGCACCGCAGAGCCTTGAAGTGGCAGCAGCCAGGCCCTCACTGTGCCCTGTGGCCAGGGCACAGACCCTCCCCATCGTGCAGACACCACACACCCCCAAAGCACAGCCCTTGCCATCAGCAGCACGCCTGCAGCCTCTGGGAAAGTGATGAACTTACCAGAGGAAAAAGTCAACTTTTTGGTTTTTTAATTCCTCCAAAATAGCGCTGTGTGCTAACCCCCAGGAGCCATAGGCTGAGAGATCAAACCTTCTCCCGCAGGGGACCGATATCACCATTTGGTATCAATTTTCTATCTGACTGCTCCTTTTTAGGAATTGTTTCTCTTATTCCAGAAAATGAGCGCTCCCTGGGAGCATTGGGGGCCTGGCTTTGTACCATCACATATCACCACCCCAGGGACCCCTCTGTGGGTATCACCCACTGCAGAGTTTAACGCTGCCATCCAACACCCACTTGGGAGCAGACTTCTTCACCAAAGCCCCGCAGCCTGCACTTGCTTTGGGCAACTCAGGACACATGTGGGCACAGAGGATGAACCCACAGCACAACTCACACTGGTGCTGCAGGAGGGGATGAGGGCAGAGCTCTGGGACAGCAGGTGGCTGCGGAGCAGTGCTGGCACAGCACAGAGGGCAGCTGAGGAGCAGCAATGCTGGGCACCACAGTTACCAGCACTGTGATGTGGAAGGTCACATCACCTCTCTGTCAGCCTGAGAAAGGGCTCAATGCAGGGTCAACCCCACGCACAGCCTAGAGGGGGTCCACACTGAACCCCCAGCTTGCTGGGGAGGAGGGATGCTTGTTTCAGTTGCATGCACCTAGCCAGGACTCAAGGTTTGCACCAGTATGATGCAGCAGAGAGCCCTGCTCAGAACAGGATAAAGCCCACCAGCATAGGAACACAGGCAAATCTGCAGCGCCCAGCAAGAAGCTTCTCAGGCTCTCTTCTAAACCTCCTGTGAGCAAACTGTCCTCCCTCTAGCTGCTTCCCTTCTGGACAGGTTCACTGCAGCCAAACACAAGGGAAACCGGGTTCTGGCATCACTCAGTCCCTTTCTGGCACCTATTGCCTGGAGTTGCCTGGAGTTCCAGGATCCTCCGTCCCACACTACAGCAACTGTATCTGATGGACACGACGGTGGGCGGGGGGATCTCGAGGCCCCTCCCAGCCCTGCTGACTCCAAAGCTCCCTCCGGCCCGGCGCCTCCGCGGCACCACAGCGCCCCCTGGCGGCCGCGCCGCAGATCAGCACAGAATCACAGAATGACCTGGGTTGGAGGGGACCTCAAGGATCATGTAGTTCCAACCCCCCTGCCTAGCAGGGCCACCGAACATACACCTTTACTAGATCAGGTTGCCCAGAGCCTCGTCCAACCTGGTCTTGAACACCTCCAAGGACGGGGCATCCACAACATCCCTGGGCAGCCTGTTCCAGGACCTAACCACCCTCCTAGTAAAAAACTTCCCCCTAACATCCAACCTAAATCTTCCCTCTTTTAACTTAAAACCATTTCCCCGTGTCCTGCTATTATCAGCCCTTATGAAGAGTTTACTCCCCTCCTGGGAGTAAGTTCCCTTCAGATATTGAAAGGCTGCAATGAGGTCACCCCGCAACCTTCTCTTCTCCAGGCTGAACAAACCCAACTCCCTCAGCCTGTCCTCATAGGGGAGGTGCTCCAGCCCCCTGATCATCTTCGTGGCCCTCCTCTGGACCCTTTCCAAAATCTCCATGTCTTTTTTGTACTGAGGGCTCCACACCTGAACACAGTACTCCAGATGGGGCCTCACAAGAGCAGAGTAGAGAGGGACAATCACCTCCCTATCCCTGCTGACCACCCCTCTCCTGATGGAGCCCAGGATCCCATTTGCTTTCCGGGCTGCCAGAGCGCACTGCTGGCTCATGTTAAGTTTCTCATCTATCAGGACCCCGACACGGCAGTGCAAGGTGCAAAGTTGTATTTAAAAACGAACTCTTACAACACGTTTTTCCCAGCAGCTAATTTGCCTTACCGGCTGCAACATGACAGAAAGTATAGTAACAATAGCAGAACGGCACAATCCTAGGCTGCAACAAATGAGAACAAGCCCAAACACAGCAGACACAGAAACAAAGGAAGAAAATCTACTTACTTTTGGAAGACTTCTGGCATAGATCTCCAACAAGATACTCTCACCTCCACTGCCAAACCTTAAATGAGGTCTGGGAAGGGCTGGATCCTGGCTTCACCCCTTCCAATCACTCACGTCCATTGCCTGCACCTGAGCTCCCCTGGGTTGGCCCTGCCCTCCCACCAGGTGCTCCATCACTGCTTCAGGCTGTGACTCAGTGCTTTTGCTACACCTGTGCAATAGCAGCTAGCACTCGTGCACAGAAATAGTCCAGGCAAGTTCTGCCTGTGGGCCAGGTTCTGGGTTACTGTTACCATCCCATTCCATCACCTGGGCTACATCACAGCTGTTCTGTGACACATCAGCTCAAGCCTTGCTGCAGGACTGGGGATGCAGCCAGTGGGGACACGGCTGGTTAGGAATGCACCAGCACAGCACAGTGTTTGTTTCAACTCCTGTTTTCTTCCCACCTAGTAAGTAGGATGGAGGTGAGAGAGGAAGAGCATTGCTCACCCTGCTGAAAGGTCACCAGTTGCTGGACAGCTGCAGTGGTTTCCATTCACAACAGCATCCATATCTCATGATGTGCAAGTGCTGTGCTACACAGGGGAGAGCAGGGCCTGCCCGCCATGTTTGCATAGACACCAGCCTGGGTCCCTTTGGCATCCCTGACTCCTGGTTGGGAGCAGTGAAAGCTGATGTAGCAGATTCTTTCCCACCACAGAGTGGCCCCAGCCCTCCCACCCCAGTTAACACCCAGCCCTGCCTCCCACAAGGCCCCATTTCAGAAATATGGAGTAGCTTCTCCAAATCCTACTAAAGCCCTCGTGACTGCCATTATTCCACACAGCTTCCTCCATCCAAAGGCACAAGTATCTCCATCAACACTCCCTGAGCGCTGGTGGTGGGGGGCAGAGCAGGGGCAGACACCTGCTCCAGCAGGACTTATGTGGAAAGCTGGATACACCAAAGAGATTTTTGGCATGGCCTTTGTGTCAGTCACCAAAAGCAACGAGGGATCTGGCAGGCTGGAGTGAAAATGCTCTGGAAGGGAATCACTGGAGCTCAATGTCGTGGCACAGAATAAGACATGAAAAGGCAGGAGTAACCCTGGGCAGGCTTCAGGTGCCCTGGAGAGCCTCTAGGAGAAACATCACTGCTGTGACAAGCACTCAGAATTGATTTGTGGCATAGTCTGGTCACATCAAGTGGCAATAAAACCCTTAAGTGGCTTCGGGATAGCAAACCTTGGTCATGTGAGATGAACAGTGGCTTTAAAAAAGATCACTAAATCCCACCAGTGCTACTTATACAAACCTTATTTATTCGAAGGGCTCCTATTAAAGTGCCTTTTATTCCTGGCAATGGGCAGTTTTACATTGCAAAACAACACATGAGCCAGCAGCTGCTTTCAGCCCTGCCTGCCCACAGGGGAGAGGGCTGTGATGAGCACAGTCTGGCCAAGGCCCCTCACACGCTGTGTTTTGGGTTCCTGGACAAGGCCTTTCCGGCCGTGCACTCCTTGTTCCTCCGTGGGGCTGCCCAGTACACGTCCCCTTCTGGAGACTGGTGATCTGAAGCAGTTCCCACCCCAAGCTCAGGCCTCGGCGGCGTCTTGGTTCTGTGTGCAGGCGTCCTGGAGGAGCGGTGTGGTCTCAGAGGGCTGGGGCGGGGGGCTCTGCGTGGTGGGGTCGTGTGGGTGCTTCTCCTTGGCAGACTTCTGGAGAGAAGAGGGCAGAAGTTACAACCCCACAGCACAGACCATACAGCATGCATCATGCATAATACTCATGCCCCAGCGCCTTGGATTTCTGCATGGCCAGGAATCCTTTCCTGACAGATCTCAAACTGAATGCTTTTATGTCTCCTCCCCCAGCAGAACGTTATTTCTGGTCCTGCCCACCAGTCCTTGTAGCACCCCAGGAACACCCAGTCTGTAGAGCTGTGTCATCAGGCAGAGGATTGTCGGTAAGTCAGCTGCACAACCTCAGCCATCTAGTAGCTGTACAAGTCCCTGCTTCTAGCTATAGGTGTCCCTATTCATTGCAGGGGAGTTGGAATAGATGACCTTTAAGGGTCCCTTCCAACTCAAACAGTTCTATGAAACAAACTGAGTCTTATCATGGACACAAAGACCAGGAGGCCTGGCTGGATGAACGAGTTGTTTCTGGCCAAGCAAACATGCAAAAAAGAAGCACCTATCTTTACGAGAAAGGAACTACAAGGCAGGCAGTCTCACCTCGATCCCCGGGAAGCACTGGGAACTATTTCCAAGCACACTAAGGACAAAGTCGTCAGGGGCAGTCAGCATGGATTCACCAAGGAAAAGTCACCTTTGACCAACGTGATAACTTTGTGTGATTATTAGCAGCTTAGTAGGTGAGGGCAGAGCTGTGGATACTGCCAACTTCGACTTCAGCAAGGCTTTTGATGCCATTTCCTATCTGATTCTCATAAAGAGTACTGCCCAATGGCCCAAAGTTACTGGACAGCAGATATGAGTAGTGTACCCCAAGCATCAGTCCTGGTCCAGCTCTGTTAGTTAGATGTTTAACATCTAACATCTATATTAATGATCTAGATGGTGGGGGTGGAGTGCAACCTCAGCAACTAGCAGGTGACACAAAGCTGGGAGGAGTGGCTGATACGCCAGAGGGTCACACTGCCATCCCAAGGGACCTCGACAGGCTGGAGAAATGGACAACAGGAGCCTCACCAGCTGCAGCAAGGGGAAGTGCAAAGTCCTGCACGTGGGGAGGGGCAGCCCCAGGCTGCATTAGGTGAAGCACTGCCAGCAGCTCAAGGTGATCCTTCCCCCCTGCTCAGCACTGATGTAGTCCTAAAGTACTGTTCCCAAGTACTTGTTCTGGGCTCCCCAGCACCACAGAGATGTGGATCTACTGCAGAGGCCAAAGCAGGACTATTGAGATGATTAAAGGACTGTAGCATCTCCTATGAGAGGCCAAGACAGTTGAAGCTGTACAGCCTGGAGAAAAGAAGGCTCAGGGAGATCTTAATTTATTTCAGTGGCTGAATGAAGAGTGTAAAACCCCAAAAGAGTGAGGCTCTCCTCAGTGGTGGCCAGGGACAGGACAAGAGGTGATGGGCACAAACTAAAACACAGGTGTGATCTGAGCATCAGAAAATGCTTACTTTTTTTTAATTTTTTCTTTTTTTTAAAAAACTGTACCCAAGCACTGGGTCAGGTTGCACATAGAAGTGGGGGAATCTCCATCCTTGGGGATTCAAGAGCCACCTGGACATGGACCTGAGCAAGCAGGCCTAGGTGGCCCTGCTTGAACGGAGGGGTTGCAGGAGATGACCTCCACAGCTCCCTTCCAACTCCAATGATTCTGTGATTTTGTGTTTCTGTAATACAAACCCAGATATTTGAAAAAACCAAATTCCCCACTGAAAGCCCTTGCAGGGAAGTAAAACCCACCAGCAGGGTGCCTCTGTTACCCCCATCTCTAGGCCCTCTGAAAAACTTACCTCCAGCTCTCAAATTCTCACAGGGGGGGAGAGGTGAGAAAAGCAGCTCCTCACACCACACTTATGTTTTATTCCAATCCTCACTGATACCATTTGACCAGGCACACAGGGAGCAGAAACAAGAGTGTGTTCTCACAGCCTGGTTAAGTGCCAGTGCTAACACAGCTAAATCATCCCGAATAAAGCCAGGAGATAACATGGCTGCATCAAAGACTGCCAAGAAGACACATCTTCTGGTACACATGGACAGCAAACATTTCCATTTGATTGGTTTTTAGCAAAGTTCAATCAACTCTGGATGAGAGAAGAGTGTGTTACCTTGGCTGGGTACCCACCTATAGTCTGGCTTCCCGCAACACCTTAACCGGAGACAGCTTTCTGGCATGGGGAGTCTGGGTGGCCTTATTACTGTCTGAGTTCTTTTTATTGCTACTCCAAAATAAAGAGCATTTTTCCTAGAAGATAATCAGGCTCGTTTATGGTGCACTTTGACATGAATTCCACGAGGGTCTGGTTTTAGGAGGTGATTTTAAAGAAGTTTTAATCACTGTTTAACGATAATCTAGCTATTGAGGAAGATTTCAAGATTTAGGTTAAACTAAACCCTATTTAAGATATTGATCAGCACCAAGCCAGTTTTAAAATGGTCTGTTTGCATATTAAAAGTCTTCTTGCATAAGCTTTGGGTTGCATTAGCAGAGAGCTTTAATGCTGCACATGGGCACACATTGTGCCCATACAGGAGACACGCACATTTTTGGAACAACAGATGCATTTTAAACTGGCTCCTATGTAAACTAGACTAAGATTTAAGTGTTTCACAGTACCTCATTTGGACAGGTTTGATGGCCCACTGCTCCCTCTGGAAGCCAGAGAGATGTAAGACATACCAGGAAGGCATAGGTTAAGCAAGAGCTTCACGCTGGCAGACACGTGAAAGTGTGGACAATGCCCCTCAGGCATCACCTGTGGCCTCCAGAGAGAGGAACGGGTGTGATTAGCAATCATCACTAGATCAGCAACACTTTGATCGAGGAACACACCTTGGCTGCAAATTGCTGTCTTCCAGTTTACAAGCTCTTATCTGTTCATTAGGCACAGAATTTAATGTGTTGTTGCGTGGCTTCCTCCGAGATTTATAAAGCCATTAGGGCTATTGATTTACTTTTCAGGTAGTCAGATGCTTCCTATGGTTTATTTTAGTTCTAGCACTTTGTGAGGCTGAGCACCCAGATGCAGCTGTCTCATGCCCAGGTTTTGAATGTTTCAAAAGCAGCTGTTCAGATGATTCCAGTGAATAGAGAAGGCAGCTTTTTCTCCTACCCCCTTCCAGCATAGTGGGTAAGGCTCTTTGATAATGGGAAGCCTGCACAAAGCAGGGTGAGGAAACAGCAGCCCAGGCTGTCAGACACAGCAGCCCAGGAAACACCAACATGTGCTGAGACATACTGGTGCTGCACAGCAGGATGAAGCCTGTGGCTACCTGCAGTTGCTGGAACAAAAAGGGTGGGCACACTCAGAGCTCAGCTGCTCTGGGAACACCACAAGGGTCAGCACTGAGCCCCAGCCCCTCACACTGCTCCCCCACTGCCAGGTAGCATGGGGAGGAAGAAGGGGATTCGGGATCATGTGTTTAAGTCAATTAAGCAGTTGTAGGCTTGGTAGAAATCCAATTACGTGATACTTGGAGAACCCTAGAGCTATTTAAAGTGGGCTGGTATTAGCCTTTCAGTAAGAGTAGCTACAGGTTGAGCAGAAGCAGCCTCTCGCCCATGCTCTCACCTCAACCCACTCATCCTCTTCACTGCCTTTTCATCCCCACAAGCAGCCTCTTCTTATCTGCAGCTTTAGAGCCAGCTCAAGCTGTCTGGCTGTAATGCCAAGCTGAATAAGCTTGCTTTGATATAGGTTAGGGAGCTAGATCTCTACTTCAATGCTAAGCTCTCTAAAAGCTTTAGCTCTTATCAGATGAGTGTTTTGCAGCTGGAGACAGATCACCACCAAGTGCCTGAGCTGTTTTATATTCTGTCCCCAGAGCATTACACTCAAATGGATGGGGCAGCCAGGACCCTGTGCTGCTTGCACCCAGCCCCAGCTCCCTGCAGCCCTCAGAGGTCAGGGCTTCCCACCCAGATCCCTGCAGGCCTGATTCCCACAGCTATTTGGAACAGTTGCACTTGCAGATAAATAAATGAGTTTCTAGGTGATGGCACAGATCTGATGCTTTACATGGAAATGAGACTGATGAGCCAGGGTTGTTCATTGGTTGGGTGAGCTGAGAAATGCTTCCTTCCATGAGAACCTGCTTTGGTCACTGCTGTGTACTGAGATGACCAGAACTGCTTTTAAAACATTTGCAGCCCAACTTCGTGATGCTGAGGTCCTGCTGTTACCTACTGGTGTCATTAGGTCATAGTTGGAACAGAATCACTGTATCAGCCAATGCTTCATCAGGAGTGTTAGATTGTCGACCCAATCTTTGTCATCTGATTAAATCTGATTTGACTAACAGAACTTCCCATTTGATGACTGCACATTCTTACCTGACTCATCATCATGAGTGCAGCTGAGATGATGAGCAGGACACTGAGCCCGAGGAAGATGTACTGCAGGTAGTCTAGGATGGATGGGATCAGCACCAGGTTGGTGTAAAACTGCGATAGGACTGAGCCATCAATGTATCCACTCTGCCCAAGAAAGCAAAGTTGTGATAGGCATCTCGCTTTCATCCAGAGCAGTGATAGACCATTTGTGCAACTCCTCTCTCCCATCATGGATTGAGGAATTTAGGTCAGAGGCAGGCCAGAAGCTTCTACCAAACAGCTGGACATGCACACAGCTGTAGGACTGCACTCCCTGGCACACATTAGCATGCAGATGCTGGCAGTGCTGTTCTGGGTTCTATTTAACCCCACATCTAGGACAGAGCCAGAGGTCTGCCAAGTACAGTGCAGGGTTTGTTCAGCTCAGAAGGATTAATCATGCAGCCAAGCAGTACAAAGCCTTCTGTTGGCTGCTCAGTCTGGCTGGCTTAAAGCCTTATTCAGAGCGGAGTTCCCCCAGCACTGCAGTTTCCCCCTTCCTGCACGAGACACTCTTCAGAATTTGGTCAAGGAAGGCAGCTCACCTCTGCAAACCACAGCAGCGGCATCACCACTGGCTGAATCTTCCCTGTTTGACTGTGGAGGTGAAAAAGAAATAAGCATTTAGATTCCTGGTTCATCAGACCATAGCTACTGTTGCAATTCTTCCTAATGGGAAGAGTCTGGCAGACCAGCAATGGCCAGGACACTGATACAAGAAGGCTGCATGCAATTCCTGCTGCTTCAGGGAGCTCCCTCCCCTCCAGGGACCAGGTTCATCTTGGGCCTTCTATGCAAAAGCAGTGCCAACACTTCCATTTGAACTTAGTTGCCCAATGACAGCAAAAAGTACCATTCCAAATCTGGGCTCCAGGTACATTAACTCAGTGAACTGGAATGCCGAACTTATGCAGATCTGAGACATCCCAGTCATCTGCATGGCACTGCAGGGCAGTACTGCCAAGTCCAGAGCACAGGGGTTGTCTGCCAGCATGCACAACAGGGCCAACATTTGTATTTCAACTGTTCTGTCAGGTGCATGAAGCACTGCAAGAGCTGAGCCAACAGGCAGGCACACAGCACTGCCAGGGGACAGCATCTGGAGGTTGCTGGAACAGCTGACCCTACATATCAGCCAGCTGGCTGCTGCAATGGTGACACAGCTAACATCAAAGCTATCTCCTCTGTCAGGGTGAGCTCTGCAGGGACCCCAGAGCCAGCAGCACTCCCTGCTGGATGAAGAGATAGCCACTTTTAACAGTGAATCACTTACAGGATACCAGACACCTGCTTCATGTACTGGTTCAGCTGGAGCTTGATGGAGCAATTCATGGGGATGCCTGTCATCTGCATAGGAAGAGACCAACCAGCTCATCAGTACATCTCACACATATCATGAGAGCTCTGCAGAAAATTGGCTCCCCACTTTCCTCCCCAGCTGCTCCGGGTTCCACCTTCCCTATGAAGCACTGAATTGGATCATTCAGAGATCCAATGCACACAGCCAGCAGCAAGGCTGAGTTTCCAGTGTACCAGCACTGGTCAGCCCCACACTGCTCCCCAGGCTCTGAGGATGATTGCTCACATGTGTAGTGCACACGTTTAACAGGCAGACTGCATGAACGTGGGGAGGTGCTTTAAGGGTCACAAGGCTCATGGGACCAAACCCAAGCAAGTTTAAAGTTACCACGTAGAACTCACAACCTGCAATTGATTCCTTGGGCAGGGTGTTTTAACAGAAGCTTCTATTCCTAAGCCTGATGAGCCTCTTCTGTTGTTGAACTTATCTGCACTTGTTTTGAGAATACATCAGTACACAACACCACCGTGCTTCTAAGATGGTCCTTTGGCATTGGTTCCTCATGACACTGCAGTTCTCTGACATACTAAGGGGAGGGTATTTTTGTTGGATTGCCCATATTTGTACTCAGCAGGCTGGGCTAGATAACAGTGAATTGTACTGTTATCAGAAGAGCTTCGATACTGTAATAAACTTAATTAGATTTCCGTAAATGCGATAAGAAAAGCAGAGAAGCCAATGCCTGGGTAAGGAGCTTATCTTGCCTTACTTCAAGAGGGGATTGGTTTCTTGCTCAATCTAGCACCACTGAACACTTGGAAACATTCCACTCATAGCCACATGCATAGTGGGCCACAAGGGGAAGAGCCCCACATCTTCTCCCCTTCAACACTGGGGACAGAGATGACTTGAGATGGCACTGGTGCAGCAACTTCATCCTTACGTTCAGTTTGCACGAGGTGCAGCACTGAGGCTGGAGTGCAGAAGCAGCCAGTCAGATGGGCTAGTCAGGATGGAGGAAAAAAGCCAGCCCAAAAACAACAGCAACAGGTCCACTACAAAGTGGTGTTCAGACTTTGCCAGTCATCTTTCATGGTCATACATGTTTACAGACCTGGGACATAACTGGGCTGCTGCCAGATACACCTCCTGGTGTCACGGGCCTTCCTGAGTCAGTGGAAAGAAAATGACTGCGCTTATCAAAACAATTATG